CAATATAAATATAAGGCATAAGACCTCCAGTAACCAGCATTAAAGGGGCCGTGCAACGATACTGGGTCGAAATGTTTCTCACTTTAGACAAGCTTACTGGCACTAGTGGGACCCAAATATACTCGCACGCAACGCCACTGACCAAGAAGCTTCTTCGTCGCCTCGTAATCTCAAGGATAAAAGTGGACGTTTTCTTTCAGTCTCTCCTTCGCAAAACTTGTTGACAAAGTTCTGGGGAACGCATTGATGGCGTTGTCAACAATGCGGTCCTCAGGATTTCGTCATCGATCTTCGTGGTCCCTGCGGTAACAATATTTACATGCGGCTCACACAGTGTACACGAGCAATGCGTGAGCACTCAAGTTGGGCTCGTGATGATCAATGCCACTACACGCATTCGGGTAGTGGCTCGTGCCCAATCGCTTCGATGGCGGAGGTAGCCGAGCCTCAAGAATGTACGGAGCTCAGTGCGTGTCCGACGCTTTCCCAACTTCGGCGCGTGACTTTGGTGGCATATAATCGGCTCCAGATCACGTGGCCGCTTGCTCTGGGCTACGGTAGATAGAAGAAAGCTAGAAGGGGAGGTGTCAGAATTTGCGCGCGAGAGAAGGAGCAGCGAATCAGTATGCAGCGGTGGCGCTGCCGTCGACACTGAGATGTGTTGTCCCCTCGCGTCCTCCGGGGTTCGGATGCTTTCTTGCTCCGCGAGGAAGCATCGCCGCCGTCGGGAATGGTGAAGAAAAAGGTTTTCTTCCTTTTCTTTCTCGCAGAAAGGTACCCCGTGGTTCATTCGAGAGCAAAGCAGTGTTTGTAGTTTTGCCATGGCGGTAGTCTGCACGCATGGGGCAATATTTTTGGGGGAAAATCTCCACAGACGAGTGCATCCACCGACGCGAACGAGCCTTTTCCCGGTTCGGCGTCTACAGTTGACTACTGATGATGATGATAATTTGCAGCTCTTTTAAATCTGGCGGTCCCGTGGTGTCTGGGACTTAGCTTGTAGAGCTTACGTGACCCTTGCTCTGAGCCCTTAGCCGCCAACTCTGTAGTCGCCTTTCCACCACACCCTTGCTCTACCGTCCGTTGGCCTTCGCCGTAGCGTCAGCGTCGTTGGCGTTGTTCCTACTTCGATACCAGAACCAGGCGACTTTTTTCGTTCGCGCACCAGTCACTTAGCTGTGTTTAAAGATTTCTGTTTTTCCTTTGTCCCCTTTTTCCAGGGATTATTTTCGTCATTCTTGTCAAGCTCGCTTGCACCTTTGCATTTAAAGGGGCGATGCAAGGATTTTTTAACTTTTGCCAAGTAGTAGGGGGAGTTGGTCTCTGTCATTTTTAGGTCCAAGAACAGAAAACCATTTCTGCTTCAGCGCGCCAGATTTCATTGAAAAACAAAATGGCAAAGATCGAAGGTTTCGACGCCTCTCAACTCGTGCATCGGCGACAGAGTACTTCCGAGTCACATGCGCAGTGACATCTTTGGGGAATCATGTCACTCCCGGGTGGGCTCTGTGACCTCTGTTTTGTGGTACTCCAGCACTCCTCCCGTGATTCTGAACAACGTGTCAACCGTGGTCTCCACCAACGCGGAGTCATGGCGTGTTGGTCTCGGACACCACGCACCCGTGATAGTCTCCTCGCGCGGCAGAAGATGATAGGGGAGTTTTTGGTTAACAAACAGGGGACTCTGGCTCGGGCACAACAAAACACCACACCCGGTAGGCATCGCCCGTAATTGTGGCGGATGATACGATCGTGCGTTGAAAAGCACGAGAAAACGAAAGTCAGACTCTTATCTGCTCCTCAAAAAAAAAAATGAAAGCCGCTTACAACTCCCTGTAACGCCGAATTAGAGCGCAGCTCTTGAGGAGGAGGAGGGAAGGGCACTGGGGGGGGGGGGGGTTAAACTAACCAGGGGGGGGTCACGTTACCTTGGGGGTCACGTGACCCCCAATGCCGATGATGTCATCACTGACGTCACTGATGACGTCATCAGTGACGATGACGATGCGGGTACCGATGACGTCATTAGTGACGTCACTGATGACTTCACCAGTGATGATGACGATGACGATGCGAATGTCGGTGACGTCATCAGTGACGTCGCTGATGACGTCATCAGTGATGATGACGATGCGGATGCCGGTGACGACATCAGTGACGTCACTGATGACGTCATCAGTGATGATGACGATGACAATGCGGATGTCGGTGACGTCATCAGTGATGATGACGATGACGATATGGATGCCGGTGACGTCATCAGTGATGATGACGATGACGATGTGGATGCCGGTGACGTCATCAGTGATGATGACGATGACGATGTGGATGCCGGTGACGTCATCAGTGATGATGACGATGACGATGCGGATGCCGGTGACGTCATCAGTGATGATGACGATGACGATGTGGATGCCGGTGACGTCATCAGTGATGATGACGATGACGATGTGGATGCCGGTGACGTCATCAGTGATGATGACGATGACGATGCGGATGCCGGTGACGTCATCAGTGATGACGATGACGATGTGGATGCCGGTGACGTCATCAGTGATGATGACGATGACGATGTGGATGCCGGTGACGTCATCAGTGACGATGACGTCATCGGGGGGTCACGCGACATCGGCGGGGGTCACGTGACCTCGAGGAGGGGGCCACGTGACCTCAGGGGAGTCACGTGACTTCGGGGGGTCACGACCCCCCACGAGGTCACGTGACCTTGTTGGGGGGCTCGCGCGGTGCATTATGGGACATTTCCCACGATGCACCGCGCGGTTACGCCGACGCCGACGGCGACGCCGCTCAAGCCGGAAACGGGCCCCTAAGAGCTGCGCTCTAAAACTAAACTTATAGACAGTACTCGAGACGTTACCAAAGCTCCTTAATTTACGTTCAAATATTTACACAAAGTGTGCTCTTGGCACAGAACGGGACATCGGGTGACGGTTAGGTAAACCAGGCTCTCTAGACCAGGCAGTTCGATCATCGCTCCCCCGTTGGCTCGCGAGACTCTTCTTTTTTTTTTTTTTAGAGCGCAGCTCTTAGGGGGCCGTTTCCGGCTGGAGCGGCCTCGGCGTCGCCGTCGCCGTTGGCGTCGCCGTCGCCGTCGGCGTCGGCGTAACCGCGAGGTCATGTGACCTTCCGAGGTCACGTGACCCACCCAGGTCACGTGACACCCCTAGGTCACGTGACCCCCGAGGTCACGTGACCCCCAGAAGTCACGTGACCCCCTGAAGTCACGTGACCCCTTAGGTCACGTGCCCCCTTTAGGTCACGTGACCCCCCGAGGTCACCGGACCCCTTGAGGTCACGTGACCCCCAGAAGTCACGTGATCGCCTTGAGGTCACGTGACCCCCTTGAGGTCACGTGACCCCCTTGAGGTCGCGTGACCCCCTGAAGTCACGTGACTTCTGATCACGTGACCCCCTAAGGTCATGTGACCCTTCAGGTCACGTGACCCCCGAGGTCACGTGACCCCAAAAGGTCACGTGAGCCCCTGAGGTCACGTGACCCCCTTGAGGTCACGTGACCTCAAGGAGTCACATATCCCTCAGTACGCTTCCATCTTCCTCCTCAAGAGCTGCGCTCTAACCGGCGTTACAGGGAATTGTAAACGGCTTTTTTTTTTGTCATCGTTAGTGTGCTCCCACGCACGCGGAAACAAGATGCGATCTGAGATGCAGCGAAAACAAACCCGGGAACGAACGGGAGTGTGGTTGCGCAGGTGGTGTGGTTTTGTTGACTTCCAATATATGGCGCTACGACACTTTATTCAATTTTAGGGAAAATACTAGACTTTTTACGCATTTTCCTATGCTCAAACGGCAAGATAATATTTAAATAACATTAGATTCAGCACCAAATTGCACAAATCGCTAACTTGCAAATGACATCCCCCAGATGACGTCGCACGGCACTTGCTGTAACCGCCACATGCGGCTGTCGATCGGCAAATAATTCGTTTTCTCCTTTGCGACTGCGCTGTGGAATCGCTGTATTCCGGGAGAAGTATGCATGTTTTAATTTACTTGTCGAACGATTGGCAATATTAAAAATGCAAACTGTAAATTCTTTCAACCATAAAATCGTTGCACTGCCCATTTAATTCAATTATCATCATAACTATTTTGCGCGCAACGCCTTGTGTGTGCGTGTTCCTTTTTTTTTTTTTTGCTTTGGTGTGCGTGAATGAACGTCTTATGACACGATCTTTTGGCACTGACAGTTTACAGGTACTACGAAAAAAAAATGGCAAACCCCTTCCTAGACCTTAGTTGCCGGCAGCCTGCGTTTTCTTTCCGTGGTCATTAGAGTAGGTCGGAGATCGTCTGTAACTTGTGTACAGGATGGCACATGTTCTTTTATTTTGTTCGGTGCACTTCATTGCACAGCACTGAGACGGCAGCACGGCGTGATCTTCGCGTTTGCTAGGGTGGGCTGGGTTCAGGGATGCTGACATCACATCATACGCTGAAAATGTCTTGGACTACCGGCACAAATAACCACGCTGAGCTCACCAACTATGAGCTCCTGCAGTCTGTTCCCATAGTACATAAAGCATCCAAACACTGCACGTTGGGAGGGAATAGCATCGCCCCCTCCGATGCTCCGACTCAAGAAAAATGGTGTATTTGTTTGCAATCAGGGTGAAAGATGCGCATGCGCAGTGCGGTCTCAAAAAAGTTGTGGATTGACTGTGCCAAAAGAAAACGTTATCATCAAAATATTACCATCGCCATTGGGACACCGAGCATCTAAAGCGTCATACTGGGAGTCCCTCAAAAATATTATTTCTCGGTCAATATAGCTTGCAAGTATTTTTCACATCTCCGCAACGCAATGCCAAAAAATACAAAAGCAACTGATTTTGTTTTTGTTATTTGGCGCTGAATTTGGGATATTTTTTTTATATAAACTTATTTGTTTTTGAGGTCGAATCGTTCTCCATTTTACCGAGGGTTCTAAACAATTTGTTCTTTTGTCTTTTTTCTAGGGGCCCGAAGCATCCGGTTTGAGAGGGTCGACGTACCCGGCGCCGTGATCAGCGGAGAGCCCGTCCTTCTGCTGTGCGAGTACAACCTCGAAGGGGCCGAGCTCTACTCTGTCAAGTGGTACAAGAACAACGTGGAGTTCTACCGGTACCTCCCCAGCGATGCCCCGCCCGGGCAGAAGTACGACCTGGTCGGTCTCTACGTGAACGTGAGTGTTCTTCGAGACGCCTCCTGTCACCTTGGCGTTAGCGGTTTTTGTCTGCCAATTGGTTTTTTACACCGGTACCGTAAAGGCGTCTTCTGCTGGTGTGTTTAGCGTCCCATTAGATACCTATAAATTCAAAGTGGTACCGAAGTGACAATAAATGTCGTCACAAATGTCAGAGTGTCATGCTGTCGAATGTCGCAAACCTGGCGACTGGGCGTAGAAGTACTGGAGACAAAAAAAAATTGAACACGAGAGAACGCGAGTGTCGCTGTCGTAAAGGCGTCCCAACTTCGTTCTGCCGAAGTTTTCGCAGTCTGTCAAACTGGAGGTCAAAGGGCAGCAGAACAGGCGTCTTCCGCGGCCACCACCACTGTTATTCTGCCGCGAGAATCACGGTCGGCGCCAGCAGCATGATACTTCTTTGACGTCATGAGGCGGAAATCGAGGGACCACTTTTTTGGACGCGGCAACCACGCCCAGTTGGAGACGCGTTCCAGTAGGTATGGTGCCTGGAGCGCGTCTCCGACTGGTGTGTTTACCGCGTCCAAAAACCTGGTCCCTCGATTTTCGCCTGATGACGTCATAGAAGTGTCATGCTCTCGCCGATCGCGATCCTGGCGGCGTCCCAACAGCTTTGGTGTATGTACCAGACGCCTGTTTTGCTGCAGGTCGCTCTCTATTGTGACAGTCCACGGAAGTTAGAGCAGCCGAAAGATGGGACGCCGTGACGAAAGCGACACTCGCGTTCGCTCGTGCTTTTCGCCAGCGTTTCTTCGGCCCACCGCCAGGATCCCAGCATCCGGCAGCATGACACTCCGGCTTCTTTGACGTCATTTGTTGCCACTTCGTGACCATGTCCGATGTATGGGCGATATAGGACGCTAAACACACAAGTCGAAGACGCGCTCCAGGCACTATAGTTCCAGGCACTGTAGTTTCTACAAGCAGACATAAGCAGAAAGTATAGATATGATAGAAATAGCGGAGAACATGAAGGCGACCCGGAGACCTTTAAACATCTTGAAAATCGGAGACTGGAACTGTGTGTGTCTGCGTTGTCCACTTTTTTTCCCTCGGTCTCGGGTGTTGAAGATGTTGAAGTATATATAAATAAATATATGTTTTTTTTGTTTGTTCCTCCAAACATTCACACACAAAAAATAAAATATGATAGAAATAGTTTAAACATGCAGCCGAAATGTCAACTTTCAACATCTTCAAAACCCATAGGTTAAGACTTTAAGTGTGTGTGCGTGTGTTCTCCACATCTTTGTTCCTCAGTCTCGGGTTTTCTAGATGTTAAAGTATAGATATTTTTTTGCTTTTACAAACATACACAAACAGTAAGCATTAATCTGCGTTATAGAGCCACTAATAGAAAAAGTAAAAAAAGCAAACGAAAACAAGAGGCTAGCCAACAGAGTTAAATTTTCAGAGCAAGATATATCAATGGTTTATCTCGTAGCCTGGGTTGTCCACACCCTGGGTTGCCCATACCCTGGGTTGCCCATACCCTGGGTCGCCCATACCCTGGGTTGCCCATACAAGGCGTGGCTTGTTGTACTCACGCTTGTGGCTGCGCGATTCGTTCTTTGGCGTTCTTCTCGAGCGATGCTTCAATCTCATTGACTGAGGAGCTGCTCGGGACTTGCTACGCCCCGCGTTTCTTAAGTTGTCAGGTCCTATAGCGTGCAACGCTGCCAAAGCCTACGACAGGAGTGTGTGTGGCATGGCCTTGAGGTTCATTTTCACCTTCTCCTCCGCAAATGAGACGCTATGCGGGTAGAAACCGATGGAGAGGATGAGACAAGAGCACGCGGGTACTCCAGAAAGCCGAGCTCTGGTTGGAAGGATTAGTGGGTAGATGCAAAGCTAGCTCTTTTCTTCGTTTTTCTTTTTTTACGCTCACTGTTTCCAAGCATTCGAACGTCAAGCGCCGCGTCCGGCTTTCGGCGTTCGCGTTCGAACGCGTTCGAAAACTGAGTAGAAACAAAGGCAGCTAGCTTTGCGTCTACCCTCTAATCCTCCCAACCGAAGCTCGGCGTCCCCGCGTGCTCTCATCTCCTCCTTTCCCTCAGTTTCCACCCGCATAATCACCGACAACGTGAGGACGGCGAGGATTCTCCTTCCGAAGCCCGCGGGCTTCAGAACGCGCTCATCGCCTTCCGTCGTGCTTTGGCTGCGTGTGGTCTTTATAAACACTCACGAGACACCGAAGGTGTATGGAATATATAGGAAGGTCAAGCTGGTGACGGGACACACCTCCTCAATTGTATGTCCGTGTCATGTCTATCGGTAAACACGTTATTTGTGAGCGTAAAAAATACGTGCCTTTCGGCCCTCTTCTGTTGCAATTTATTTTTGACAGCAAAGCGCTTTGTCGTATCACATGCGGCGAACCCCGCGGCGCCGTCAAAACTTATCGTAAGAAAAAAAAAAACACAAATAACGAACTCTACATTCCAGTCGTGTTCGTTCTGTCGCGCGCGTACCCAACAAAAATAGATTACAGTTTTTTTTTCTTTTTTTTTTAAATGTGGTACAATGGTTTCTCAATGTCCTCGGGAAAATGTATGTACCATGAAACACAAAATATAGCGGGAAAAGACGAGAATTTAGCCGCCAGCAGCGTTTGAAACTGCGCCTACGCAGGCTGCGCCTATTGAAATCACAGCTCCACTCGGTTAGGGTTAGGAGGGACACCGGTGAGAGTCTAGCCTCAAACTCACTGACTGGGCTCAAAAACGGTTTGTTTCCCCTGGGGTCGAGTGTTTTTTGGAAAGGTGTATAAGTGGCAAATGTATAGGCGCCATTGGCCGAAAGTGGGCTGGGCGTGTTCCAGGGTGGTCTTCACAAATTCGAATATGGCCAACAAGAAGCCGGAAATAATACCCTGGCGGTGGTCTCGAGCAACAAACTTAATAAGCGCGTCGGAGTAACTCTCGGTGATTGAAAATATGGTGCACGTAGTGTTTCAATCACGTTCATCCAAAATCATGGTGGAAACGTGCGACTAGCGGAACGATCGGCATAATTCATACGCCAGGCGCTGATGGCCGGGAACCTGCCGTCCGAGCGGTCACACTCTCTCCGAGCAAAACAGAGTTGAGCAGCACATTCGTTTCTTACATATTTCTACGTGATCATGATTGAAACATCACGTGCATCCTGTTTTCAACCATGAAGGGTTACTACATTTAACTCTTACGCGCTTTAAAACCATATACCTATGATTAAAACTGTTTCTCGCTACCACCGCTAGGAGATTCTTTTTGGCTTATGGTTGAAAGAGAGAGCATGCCAAGCCCACTTTCTGCGTCTGGTGCACGCCCTGGCTCTGCCCGCGCCTCCTATTGACCAAACTCTCTTCACCGGCTCTGCCCACGACGTTAACCAGCGCCCCAGCGCGTGCCCCAGCGCCGCTTAACTGCCTCGTCATCGCTCGCTCCCTACGCGCTCTCTATGTTGCCCTTTGATTGGCGTGCCCCTAGTCGCGTTCCTATGCTGCAAGGATGCACTTTGCAACACATCCTTGGCGCTTAGATGGAGCCGACTGCTTGCGCCGGTAACTTCACAGCGTTGCACCTTTGTTCATGTTTTACGAGTATTTTTAACTTAGAACAGTTTGCCAAGCTTGTCACCAATCTCCCACATCTCGATATTGCTCTGTATCATATTGTGATGAGCTTATACGAGTAGCATTTCGGGAGACTTTTCCCGTTTATTTTTCCGCACGATAGAATAAACAAATAGGACAGAGCACAGACGAAAAGATGTCGTGTTCTCTGCTCTGTCCGATTTGTTGATTTTCTCGCGTGTAAAATCAAACCTTACCAAAGACGCTTGGTTTTTAATTATTTATGTATGTAGACATTTTACAAAATTACCCAAGCACCAAGGAGCATGCTGCGCGCCTAGTTGCGCACGCTGCCGTGCTGGTGTCTGTGACAGTAACTGTTCTGAAGCAAAGGCCTAAAGCAAATGGCATCTTGCACGCACGTTCGTCAACGCCTTATGTTGGTTATTTGCTTTGAATCTTTTATAGGGGAAGGCGAACGCGTGCGGCTCGTGCACCTACATTCCCATCATTCTCTTTTGTGCTTGGGTAATTCAGCGATAGGTCTCCTGACGTGAGACCACCCGATCATCTTTGCAGCTGTCCAAATCGAACCACAACCGGGTGTTCCTAGACCGGACGGATTTGAACAGCGAGGGCAGCTACGGCTGCGAGGTGTCCACAGAGGGGCCGGAGTTTCGCACCATTATCTTCGAGAAGGACCTCAACATTTACGGTCAGTCATGATTCGCGTTTCTTCGATACGCGACTTTGTGTGGATATCTTCGGCTCCGACGTAAACGAGTCAGCTCAGCTTTTTTTCATTATTCCTTTAATTACATCAAAATATCGCTTTAATTTTATGACAACCTTTGTATTCAGTTGATATTATATACTAGTAAATCGTACATACATTTTTTCTGAATATGTACTTCGCTGCATGAGAAAATAAGTGATTCTTTTGTCGCCCCACAGCAACTGAGGTAAACTACTATACTTCGTTTCAGCTTAGGTCCGAGCGCGGTCAATGTTATGAGCCGAAGGGCCAATCAAACAACGCAAAAAGTGCAACGTCATGTTGTGCTCTCTGGGCTTGATAGAACATAGCCGGCGGAGGAGCACGCACCGAGACACGGCGAATACCGGCTAGTCCTATCAACTACCTAGAGAACGCCATGACGTTGTGCCTCTTTCGCTGTTTGATTGGCCCTTCGGCTCATAACATCGGCCGCGCTCGGACCGAAGCTGAAACAATGTGTAATAATAAAAATATTTTTTTTTTGTGTGTGTGTGTGTGTGTTTTGTTTTTTAGGCAGGTACACATCACGACACTGTTAGCGCGAACACGACATCGGCGCATTTTCGCATTTTACTTCTAAATAGCATTAGCGAGCACGACATTTTATCACTAACACTATAGAAATAAATTAGCTATTTTGATAGCATAAACAACTTGGATGACGTCCCATGGTTTCAAAAAGAAAAACTGAAAAAAACCGGCGATCGCTTATTCGCGCTAACAGTGTCGCGCTCTGTACGTCGTATTTAAAGTGAATTTAACGGTCCGATGGGACGTTATTCCTAAGCCATACAATTGGTGACGCGAAATCATAACAATCTTATTATTTTCTTCTCAAATAGTTTAACACACTATAAAGTTTGTAGACGAACCCAAACTTTCTTAGGTGAAGAGGTTAAATTACTCAGCTGTGATGTCTTACCCTACGTCATTTTTATTGCCTTCGTTGTTGCAGTTACAGAGTGTTTTCATCGCGTCTTTTTTTTTAATTGCACATACGTCGAATTTTTTTGAGCAGCGCTCCAAGCAGTGCTGAGGGTCGACTTGTACGTCGGCTAGAAAAGCGCGATGCTTCTGAAGTTAGGGGAGCATCCGGAAAGCAGAGCATGGGAGGTGTCGGCCTTTCTTGGCCTTTCTGCCATGTGGCGACCCAGGACCAAGCACCTCGAAGTTTCGGAAAGAGCGAAACCTGCATGGCAGACTTTGTCGATGGGTTTATATACATGAGCTCGCTTATCGAGGCGATGGAACCCCAAGGGTTAGAATATTGAAAAATTCTGGGAGCGCGGCTGCAAAGGCGAATGTTAACTACATTGTTTGTTGTGCCTTAATTAGACAGGTAGGAAACGCCAGAACGTAAAGGTGGAGTGATGAAGTGGTTAGCGCACCCGTTCTGACAGTGGAAGGCCCAGAGTTCAAATCCTGGCTGCACCGTTTGTTCTGACATTCGGCGGTTTTGTAAAACTGATTCCTTCGATCAATAAGACGTGCCTGTGATACATTCAAACGTGGTTCTTGACTCTTGCAGATGATGATGATATCGAATCTCTAAAGCTCATAAACAAAAGAATACATGTACACGTGACGAGACAAAAAGTGAGAAGATTTATGGAGCACAATGGGAGCACGTACCACGTATCAGCAAGCGTCGTACCGTGCTCCACACGGCGGTGAATGCTTCCAGAACACCTATGATTGAATACGTTTTGTTTCTTGTGCACTCAAGACAAATAGGAAACGCCAAAAAGTTAAGGTGTAATGGTGTTGTGGTTAGCACACCCACCCGGACAGTGGAAGGCCCAGAGTTCAGATCCTGGCTCCGGCATTTATTTTGACTCTCAGTGGTGTCGTAAAACGTTTATTCATTCGATAGTGTAACGAGATGGTGTAACAAGATCAGGAGGGCGTGCTACGAAGGGTTTGAGCCGGGATATACTTCGAGGCCTCGGCACCGCCGGTCGCTATATATAGCGACAAGCTCCACAAGATAGTTCACCGGTGAGGATTAGTCGGGCACCCGGTAAAAACCAACATACTTGGGGAACAGCTTTTCGAAGCGGCCTGGCTGTCGCATAGGTAGATAGACCAAGACGACATCACAAGGGTGACCCGTGGGAGCTCCGAATCATGCAGGCGTTTTCGGAGTTGTGGTTTGGGTGTACATAGTCGAGCCAAGCGACAGCAGTCTTCGGCACGAGAAATATAAAAATTGAGGATCACGCCATCAGAACTAAGAGGGGTAGGTAAAAAAACTGTGTCGAGAAAGGATGTTCATTATCTGGCGCACACAATATGAAAAGGAAAATATCCGGTGGTAGTTTGTACATCTGAAACTGGGTAACTTCAGATGCGCTGCCTGATGACGTGGCGGCAGTTTCGACAAAGCGTGTGAGATGATCAAATGCAATAAGAATTTACCGCTTTCCAGAAGCGCTGGTGATTGGCCGCATTTCACCAGGGTATAATTACAATGACCGTCTGCGTTGCTGGCACTGGGTGCAAGATTGCATATACTTGGCGACTTACGAGTACATCTCTGGCCAAAAGTAACCTTCCCGTACACGACTGTACGTTTTGAAAAACCGGTGGCTGGCAGTGGGGTCCTCGTGGTGGGAGTTTAAGATCGATGGCCTGAGTGATTTGGGAATGACCACAAGCCAACGGTTTCCATCGGGGCCAAAGTTGTGGCAATGAAGGACGTTGTCAATTAATCTCAAATGCTGGAGTTGACGTCGGTGTTGTCGAGTTGTGGGGAGTGTGGGTCCGTCAATATGGTCGATAAGTTTGTTGATCTGGGGGTCATTGCGTTGCTCGGAAAATATATTGCTCGTTGTGATGGATGTAAGTGGAACTGAGTTCGATATTTCAAAGCGGACAGTAGGGGGTGAAGAAGACAGCGGGCAACGAAAAAGTGCGTCTGCGTCCAAATGGCTGTGACTGGTCTTGTAAAAAAATACTAAAGTCATATTCTTGTAGTCGTAGTTCCCATCGATCGAGTCGACCAGGCAGGTTTCGAAGAGACGTTAACCAACATTAGGCGTGATGGTCCGTTATGAATTCGAAGTGTCTCCCATAAAGGTACGGACGGAATTTATGCAAGCCCCAAACTACTGTAAGACATTTCAGTCCCGTAATTGTATAATTGATCTCAGGATTCGTCAGGGTTCTGCTAGCATAAGCAATTACGTGCTTAGGAAAGGTTCAGGTCTTTAAAGAAGCACAGCTCTGAGCCCGTATCCACTGGTGTCTGTGTGTAAGACGGTAATAGCCTTATGGTCAATATGTCGAGGTTCTGGTTCTGCTGTCAGGGCTGTCTTGGGTGATGTAAAATAGTGTTGACAATCTTTTGACAACATGCATTTTGCCTCCTTTGTGAGACGCGTATGGAGAGGTGCGGCAATTCTGGAAAACCACCGAATAAAGCGACGATAATAGAAAGCTAGATCAAGAAAGCTCCTAACCACTTTAGGGTTGGGGGATGCGGGAATTGGTAAAGAGCCTCTATATAATCGAGATCAGGCCGTATACCATCATTCCTTACTATATGGCCGAGAACGTAAAACTTTTTTTCAGCGAAGTTACATTTTTTCGTGTTCGGTTGAAGCCCAATGGAATAAAGACATCAGTGGACATCTGAGAGGATGCGGAGATACTCATCAAAGGTAAAATAAAAAGTCGCAATGTCGCCGATGTAACAGATGTACGTTTTCCACTTGAGCCCAAGGAGAAGATTATCCATCATCCGCTCAAATGTGGCCGGCGCGTTGCACATTCCGAAAGGCATTACGTTGAATTTGAATATCCCGTTCCGAGTAATGAATGCCACCTTCGGTTCGTCAGCCTCATCCATGCGTATCTGCCAGTAGCCCGATTGAGGGTCACGTGGAGAAAAATACTCGGCTTCAGGAAATAATCCAGGACGTCGTCAAGGCACCGAGTACACGTATTTTTGGGTTAACGTTTTTTAAACCACAATGATCGATGCAAAAACGCAAAAAAAAACGCTTTGTTTGTTTGTTTGTTTTTGTTTTGTTTTTTCCATAAACGATGGGCGCCGATAACGGGCTGGAAGAAGAGATAATTATTCCCTTATGGAGCATGTCGATTCCGTCCTGTTTGTTAGAAGAGTGACACACGGTGGAGGCGGCGGCGGACGATAGTCGGGTTACCGACTCTACTATGTTGTTGGGTGGTATGCGTTTGACTCGGAGAAGGTGATGCCCTGTCGAAGATGCTTCTGAAGTTGTGCAGTAAAGCTAAAAGTTTGAATTTCTGAGAACATGATAGTGTCGTATTAATGGCTTTATGAACAGCTATACGGGGAAGGCGAGCGCGTGTGGCGCGTGTACATACATTCCCAGCACTATCCTTGATGCTTGGGTAATTTATCAATAGGTCTATAAGAACGCGCGCAGCGCACATTGCTGACGGCAAAACTAAATTCGTCTCTGAACCTTGCAGGATGGGCCCAGTGAACGGTGTTCGAACTTTTCGAGGCTTTGAACAGGGGTTTTCTCGCATTACATATAAAGCAGCCCCGGTGTCAATGAACGCGTTAACCTGCAAACCTTCTACAAAGACTTCGATTGAATTGGATAGCGAGTAGGAAAAATTTATGACAAGTTGTGAGTGTGCAGTTCTCCCGCCAGGAACTGCGGAAGTTAGTTTTCCGTATAGGATTTCGGGTACGTTTGAAAGTTCGGGATCAAAGAGGACTGGGAGTGTCGATAAGGTAACATACAGCGGCTTCGCCTTCACAACAAAGATGGTCATTTCGGAATGACCCCTGACGTCATGAACTTCATGCGCAGAGTTTCAAATAAATCTCTCGTGATCAATAATGCTCTTTTCTTTTTTTTCGCGTAAAGTTTATTTTTTGGCGCCCGCGTTCCAACCAGACTGTTTAAAAAACAGTTGTTTTCTTTGCAGCGGCCCTT